AAAAAAAGGAGACTTTATATTAACCAGCCTTTGTATTAACCTGGATGGAAATGGAACACATTGTTCTTAGTAAAGCATCACAAGAATGGAGAAGCATGAATCCTATGTACTCAATTTTCATATGAGGACAATTAATGACATGCACTTCCTGTAGCAGCCTGTATAGCCTATGGCTAGGAGGAGTTAAGAGTTATAAGAAATACCTGTATAGCTCAATAATGGAACACCTTAGTGAAAAGGGCATGGAGAGGGATTTAGCTTTCCTAACAAGCATGAGAGCTCGTGAGATGAGAGCATTGGTGAACTGGCAGTTTCTACACCTGTGGTGTTGAGCAGCATGAGATCAGCCTTATATTAGGCTGGAGGAGAAGGCAGTCGGGAGCATGCACATTCTATCACAGACCTGCTTACTCTGACTCTGTCTCCTTTCCTGCCTGCAGAACACCAGCACAGCCTCTCTCTGCTGAAGATTACTAAGCTCTACCAAAGACTAAGATCTAACTATTCTAAGACTGCTTTACTCTCTCTAAGACCCTTCTCTCTGTCTCTCTCCTGATAAAGTAGATAGCCCTCAGGCACCCAAGAGAAACTGTCAAAGTAGCTTAGAGGACCGTGTCCAGAACCTAGTTAAGCCGGGCCAAGACCTGGCCAGTCCCAGGCCCTGACAAGCAGTGCAGGAGTGGGAGGTGACAACTTCCCAAGGATTTTTTTATTCTTTTAGGCTAGCTTACACTTGGACTTTAAAATTCATTAAAAATCTACCTGAATTCTTTTTTTCCCTTAATATGGCAGCTCTGCCTTCTTTCTGCCTGACCATATGACAGGGAATTGCAGGTGGCCTTTAGGGGTTGAGGATAGCAGGCAGTCAACAACCAACACAAAACTCAAGCTCTTAGTCCTATAACCACAACAAAAAGAATTCTGCCAGCAACCTAGATGAGTTTGGAAGTGCATTCTTCTCTAGTCTAGCCTCCAGATAAGAACCCAGCACTAGATAACACCTTAATTTCAGCTTGGTATGAGACACTGAAGAAGACATGTGCCTAACCCCATAAAAACTATGAGATAGTAAGTGTTTTATTTTAGCCAGTGGTGGTGGTTCACGCCTGTAATTCTAGCACTCTGGGAAGCCAAGGCAGGTGGATTGCTTGAGCTCAGGAGTTTGAGACCAGCCTAACCAAGAGTCAGACCCCATTTCTACTAAAAAATAATAGAGAAATTTGCCAAGCCTACTTGGGAGGCCAAGACAAGAGGATCTCTTGAACCCAAGAGTTTGAGGTTGCTGTGAGCTTTGACGTCATGGTATTCTACCCAGAGTGACAGGCTGAGATTCTGTCCAAAAAAATAAATAAACAAGCCGGGAGCAGTGACTCACCCCTTTAATCCTAGCACTCTGGGAGGCCAAGGTGGGTGGATCAATTGAGCTCAGGAATTCAAAACCAGCCTGAGCAAGAGTGACATCCCGTTTCCACTAAAAATAGAAAACTGAGGCAAGGCGATTGTTTGAGTACCACCATTGTCACCTTGGCCAAGCCACCGTCATCTCATATACATGACTATAATACCTCCTAACTGGCTTTTCTGCTTCTTCTTCACAAAGCAGACTGTGTGATTCTTTTAAAATATGTCAGATAATGTTTTTACTCAAAATACTCTAAAAACACAAAAACGGCTTGGTGTGGTGGCTCATGCTTGTAATCCCAGTACTTTGGGACCTGAGGCAGAAGGATCTCTGAGTTTAGGATTTTGAGACCAATTTAGGCAACATAGGTGAGAGACTTTAGGTCTACAAAAACTTTTAAAATTAGCCAGGCACGGGAGCTCACACCTGTAATCCTGGCACTCTGGGTGGTCGACATAGGTGGACTGCCTGAGCTCACAGGTTCCAGACCAGCCTGAGGAAGAGCAAGACCCTGTCTCTAAAAATAGCCAGGCGTTGTGGCTGGGTGCCTGTAGTCCTAGCTATTCAGGAGGCTGAGGCAAGAGAATCACCTGAGCCCAGGAGTTTGAGGTTGCTGTGAACTATGATGCCATCAGACTCTACTGAGGGCAAGAAAGTGAGACTCTGTCTCAAAAATGTATTTAGAAAAAAAAAATTATGTCTGTACTGAACATGTATAGAATTTTTTCTAGTCATTATTCCCTAACAATATAGTATAACAACAATTTACATACATTGCATTAGGCATTGTAAGTAATCTAGAAATGACCTAAAGTATAAGGTAAGTTGTGCATAGATTACACATGAACACACAGTCACTTTTTATTGGGCACTTAAGCACTGCAGATTTTGGTATCTGAGGGAGGTCCTGGAACCAAACCCTCAAAGATAGTGAGGGATGACTGTATACTTAGTATAAAAAAAAAATGGTCCTGGCAAGATATTTTAATCAAACCCATCTTCCTTCCTTATATTTTAACATTTTACAGTCTTCCTTCCTTGGTTCTTTTATTGAATATTAGTAATAAGAGATCTGAAACACCAGTTTAAAATATTCCTAACTAGTTGAAGATTTTGGCTGGTCCCTGCCTTACCTGCTGAGCAATATGGGAAAGATGGGTTCCCTGAACTGCTGACCCAGGCTGAGGTGCTGTCTCCGAAGTGTTACTCTTGTGGGAATCTTCCATAATCAATTCTAAAGGAAAAAATAGCAGTTAAAATAAGAAGTGCTACAGGATAGTTATAGTATACTACAGTCATAAAAATTGATCATTTGGTTGCCTCTATGGAAGAGAACTGGTAGCTATGATACAGAGACAGAAAAAAGACTTTTCCTGGCATTTTTTTTTCAATTTTGACCCATGAGAACATGTATAAACTTATTAAAAGGCACATATGTATGTAAATTATGACTAAACTTTCAAAAGTTATCCCACTCAAGAAATATGATAGCCTTCCTGTCCATGGATATACACATTTCTTTCTCTAGTAGGGAACAATTTTTAATTATACATATAATTTTACAAAGATAACTTATTAAGTAAAAGTAGAACAAACAAAATTATACCTGAGGAGGTTCTAACTCTATATTCTAAACAATCAACTGAATGTATAGATTGGGTAAGAATGAGATAAATAAATAGGTTATGAGAGGTCAAATATGACAAATAGAGGGAAAACCACTAACAGACCAATAAAAGACTTGGGTTGAAGGCAGGGCATGGTGGCTCACACCTGTAATCTAGCACTCTGGGAGGCTGAGGCTGGTGGATTACTTGAGGTCAGGAGTTTGAGACCAGCCTGAGCAAGAGTCAGACTCCATCTCTGGGCTGGACAGAACCAGCTGGGCTGGCTCAGTGTCTGTAGCTCAGTTGTTAGGGCACCGGCTGCATAAACCAGGGCTGGTGGGTTTGAACCCAGCTTGGACCTGCTAAACAAGCAAGTAAGCAACACCACCAACAACAAAATAGCTGCATGTTGTGGCAGGCACCTGTAGTCCCAGGGAGACTGAGGCCAGAGAATCACTTGAGCCCAAGAGATTGAGGTTGCTATGAGCTATGATGCCATAGTACTCTACAGAGAGCAACAAACTGAGACTCTGTCTCAATAAAAAATAATAATAATAAAATAAAACAAAATAAATAAAAATAGCTGGGCATTGGTAGCAGTCGCCTGTAGTCCCAACTACTTGGGAAGCTGAGGCAGGAAGATCATTTGAGCCCAGGACCTTGAGGTTGCTGTGCTGTGAGCTATGATATCATAGCATTCTACCCAGGGTAACTGAGTAAGACTTTGTCTCAAAAAAACAAAAAAAAACAAAACTTGTTTACTACAGTACAAATTTCATATACAAATACATTTTCTGCAAAAATAAAATAAGCACCCAGCTGCAGCTATAAGGATGTGAGACAACCCCAAGTCTGGCACAATCATGAGAGCAGTAAAACATAGCTTCAAAGGTGACATCAAGGGGAATAAACTTGGGAAAGTGAGAAATCACAACAGGCTGAGATCTTGTTGACACAGGAAAGGGAAGGCAGGACACTTTCAAGAAAACTTGCAAAGAAAAGAATATTATTATGCTAGGCACTAAACTAAGCACTTTTAAATATGTCATCTCCTGGATTCTCTAGAGATGTGAAAATTTAGGCTCAAAAAAATTGTCTTTTTTTTTTGAGACGGAGCCTCAAGCTGTCCCCCTGGGTAGAGTTGCTGTCCCCCTGACAGCAACCTCCAACTCCTGGGCTCAAGTGAGTCTCCAGCCTCCACCTCCTAAGTAGCTGGGACCACAGGCACCCGCCACACGTCTGGCCATTTTTTTGTTGCAGCCATCATTGTTGTTTGGTGGGTCCGGGCTGGATTCGAACCCGCCACCTTAGGTGCATGTGGCTAGCGTCTCAGCCACTTGAGCCACAGATGCTGAGCCAAAAAAACTGTCATTTACTATGGATCTCACAGTAAGATGTGAATGTTAAGACCTAAAGCCAGAACTGTTTTAATACTAATTCTGTTCTTTCTTCTGTATCGTCCCTCTTCCAGGGATACCTTCACATTACGGATTACATTCCTGCCCTGGGTTCCTATTTCCTTCATGTTTTCACTATGCCTTGCACAGATTTTCTGCCTTTTTCTTTCTCTCTCTGTTTTAACAGATGGCATCTGCTTTGTCATGGACCTGAGGCTAGACAACAGTGGCATCATCATAGCTCACTGTAGCCTTGAACCTCTGGGTTCAAGTGATCCTCCCACCCAGCTTCCCAAAGTGCTGGGACTACAGGGGTCAATCACTGTGCTCAGTCTCCTTACACATATTTCTAATGAGGTTACTTAGCACTGAGGTGTTTATTGGCATGCATATTTCCCCCAGTGGTAAGCCTTCTATGGACAGGACCTGTATCATGAGAATGCATGCTTATTGCCCAGCAGAGACTTCATGCAGTAAACAGTAAATACTAAGAAATATGATACAGTATTGTTTTCTCATCTGATGAAGATGTCTTAGTTCCTTACCTATAGAGGTCGCTGAACTATGGTAAGCAGTCTCTTGCTCTACATTTCCACAACTGAACTCATTAACTCCCCTCAAAATTATTCTTAGACACCCTGAATCTTTCAGAACCTTAAGTGTGCCTGCTTTGCTTTTTCGCAACTCTTTCTTTTTATTTTTTTTTTAACTCTAACTTTCATATATACACTATTCCCTCTTCCAGAAACACTATTCACCTTCCTGTTCATGCGGCCTATTTCTGTGACTTATTCTTCCAGCAAATTTTCATGACTCCCCCAGACTGGTCTAGAAGCCCTGGCTGTACCCCCGTTAGCACATGGTCCCTGCTTTTTTCACTGCACTTGGCATAGTGTTGTAATGGCCTGTTTCTGTCTCCCCACCAGAGCGTATACTCTAGGGAGTATGTGGCTAGGGAATTAAAAACCACATCCAGTTCCCAGGACATTACTCCTCGCACACTTCTTACTGCTGAATAAATCAACGTGTTTACTTGCTTTTATCTACTTAAAACTGATAGAATAATGGTTAAAGAAATACCTTTAGACAATTACCTCACTCCAGCTTTAGAAATGGGGCAATGCAGGCACAAGAAAACTTGCAGGTAAAGTCTCCTTTAGGGTTAGAAGGGACTACCACCTACTGGTGATACAGTAGTACTGCACAGGTAACGCAGACCAGACGTAACCCTAAATAACTAACTGCCAATACCGTACTAAAGACCTCATGCTTTCAACTTTAGGACAACAGTTCTACACTGAGATAGCTGTATGTTATCAAGCCTATAGAAAAATAGCATTTTAATAAAAAACTCATTTCTGGGGCGGCGCCTGTGGCTCAAAGGAGTAGGGCACCAACCCCATATACCGGAGGTGGTGGGCTCAAACCCAGTCCCGGCCAAAAACTAAAACAACTCATTTCTATTGGCAACAAAATTCTCAGGATAAAATACATTTTGCAAACACAAGTACTGTACAAACTCTTGTCACAGTCGAGGCCAGTTTGTCAAACTGCCTGGCAGGTCTAAGCTAAAATAGCCTCTGAAGCATAAGGGCTCTCAAAAACTATCACTAGCTCAGCGCTCTTCAAAAGCTAACGAAACTAGACATTTAACGTCTACAATAATGTTAGAGATTAAGCTGCACATTCCACGGGGCAGCTGAAGGTGAGAAACATCAGGCTTCATTTTATGATACGAGAAAAAGAGAAAGTTTCCTCGTTATATTATTGCCTGCCCAGAGAGCTCCTCGCCGGGGGAACACCTGTTACGCGACACTAGGTCCCCGCTAATCTCCCGCCCGTCTCCAGCAGCGGTGTCTGTGTGATTACTGCCCTGTCTGCAGTTCCAGCAGACCGTAAGCTCCATGGGAGTAAAGGCGGTCTCTACCCTCCTGGGGAGCCCCGCACCGAGGCGTCCAGGTTGCGTCGTGAACCCCCTCGCGGAGTTACCGGTCCCGGGCGCCCGTCGGCGGACGTCGCGCGAAGGCCAAAGCCAGGCTGCCCTCCCCTCAACTCGGGCCCAACCCCGAAACCTTCGACTGCGGAGGGGCGGATTCCGAGGCTAAGGCCACCCCACGGTGGGAGGGTTCCGATTTTATTTTTCCTTTGGGGCCGAGAGGAAGGAGGAGACGAATTACACCCACATAGGGAAGGCGCGAGGGCCGGAAGCGCGCTCGGCCGGGTCACGGGCGACAGCCCCTCCCCTTTCCGCCGCGCGCCCTCCGCGCCCCTCCCCCACCGCCGCCGACCGCGCGCGACCCCCACCCGGCGCACGACCCGACTCGGCGTCCCCGCCAGCCTCGCGTCCCCGCTACCTCCTGGGCCGGGGCCACAGGGCACGTCCTACCCCGCCCCCCACTTACCTGTGGCTGCCGCCTCGCCGCCGTCCGGGGCGGGAACTTCCACTCCCCCCTCCCAGGTGGATCCAAATTCACTACCCACTTCCCCACCCCTTCACGCGGCGGGGAACGTCCCTCCTTCTCGGGGGTCGGGCGGGGCGGGGAGAACAGTGTCACTTAACAGCCAACTGTCCTAGGCTATCGTTTCCTCGGCAGTCAGGGCCGCCACTGGCGGCATGATCACCAGGCCGGGGGCGGGGGAGGGGAGGGGGGCAAAACTCAGTGTAAGTGCGCGTGGGGGGTGAAGTTAAGGCGGTGCCACTGCGCGGGCCGCCGTCCTGCGTCAGCGCGTTACTCACGTGATGTGCCGCCATCTTGCGCCAGGTCTCCGAGCGGCGAGGGGAGCGAGGTGTGACTCGGAAGGGCTCGCCCAGGCGGTGGGGTGGGGGTTAGGGCTCCCTGCGGTTCCTTTGCGCTTAGTGTCTCTGCCCTGTCCTCCCACACCTAAACTGTCGCTGGCTCTCGCCGGCTGTCTGCTGCCGGGAAGCCGTTCGGTGGGAGGCAGTTTCATCGGTTAGCGGCGTAGCTCAGAGTTGCCTCCGCTGCTTCCCAGCCTGGAGCTGCAGTCCCCGACCTTGACCGACGCCTGCTCTGTCCGCTTCCTGAAGGGAGAAGTGGCGTGTCTTCCTCAACTTTTTAGTTCACTGAATCATTTTAAATTCCATAATATAACGGCTGGGCGGGGTAGCTCACACCTATAATCCTATCACTCTGGGAGGCTGAAGCGGGCGATCGCCGGAGCTCACAGGTTCGAGACCAGCCTGAGCCAGAGTGAGACCCTGTCTCTAAAAATAGCCGGGCGTTGTGGCAGGTGCCTGTGGTCCCAGCTAGGAGGGAGGCTGAGGCAAGAGAATCCCCTGAGCCTAAGAGTTTGAGGTTGCTGTGAGGTGTGACACCAAGGGCGACAAAGTGAGACTCTTGTCTAAGATTTTTTAAAAAGAGAATCCTATAAAACAATGTGTGTACCCGGGCGTTGTGGAAGGCGCCTGTAGTCCCAGCTACATGGGAGGCTGAGGCAAAGAATCGCCTGAGCCCAGGAGTTGGAGGTTGTAGTGAGCTGTGACGCCCTGGCACTCTACGGAGGAGTGAGAAATACATATATATATTGGGCGGCACCTGTGGCTCAGTGAGTAGTAGGGCGTCGTCCCCACATCCCCAGGGTGGCGGGTTCGAACCCGGCCCCGGCCAGACTGTAACAACAAAAATAGCCGGGCGTTGTGGCTGGCGCCTGTAGTCCCACCTACTCGGGAGACTGAGGCAAGAGAATTGCCTAAGCCCAGGAGTTGGAGGTTGCTGTGAGCTGTGACTCCACGGTACTCCACTGAGGGCAATAAAGTGAGACTCTGTCTCTAAAAAAGAAAATGAAGAAAAAAAAAAGAGGCTCAGCGTCTGTGGCTCAAGTGGCTAAGGCGCCAGCCACATACACCCAAGGTGGTGGGTTCAAATCCAGCCCGGGCCAGCCAAACAACAATGATGGCTGCAACCAAAAATATAGCCGGGCGTTGTGGTGGGCGCCTGTGGTCCCAGCTATTTGGGAGGCGGTGGCAGGAGACTCACTTGAGCCCAGGAGTTGGGGGTTGCTGTGAGCTGAGATGCCACGGCACTCTACCCAGGGGGAAAGCTTGAGGTGCCTGTCTCAAAAAAAGAAATAAAGTAAAACAAAGAAACCAATTTTAGGCCTGGTGCCTTGGCCTGTAATCCTAGCACTATAAAAAAGCTGGGGCGGGTGGATTGCCTGAAGTCAGGAGTTCGAGACAAACCTGAGTCAGAGGGAGACACCCACCTCTAAAAGTAGCCAGGCAGTCTACTCAGGAGGCTGAGGCAAGAGAATCGCTTCAGGGTGGTGCCTGTGGCTCAGTGGGTAGGGCTCCGGCCCCATAAACCCAGGGTAGCTAGGTTCAAACCTAGACCCAGCCAAAAACCGCAGAGGAAAAAAAGTGTGTGCCTGTAGTCCCAGCTACTTGAAAGGCTGAGGCAAGGGAATCACCTTTAAAAAAAAAAAAAAAAAAAAGGATCACTTGAACTCGAGAGTTTGAAGTTGCTGTAAGCTATGACTCCATAGCACTCTATGGAGGGTGACA